GGCGTGAAAAAGTGCAAATCTAATAAAAATTCCTTTTTTCTTGTCATTAATTTATCTTCTTCTTTCAGTGCCTAGCCTGTATGGATGTTGGCAATCATGTTGGTCTATATAATCAGCACAACATTGACAGCTTTGTGGTAGGTAGTATTATTCATAAACGTTTGTTTATTTTTCTCAATAGTTTAGAACACTATCACAAAAAAAAATTATCGAAAACTTTTTTAAACGGAGATCACCCCGAGGAAATTAAAAAAGATAATTTTTAACCTGCCGTATGTCTGACTTTTTCCAAGTTAAAAAACTAAGTTACTTTTACCTTTGAAGCATAATAGCGACTTATGAGGTCGAAATAAATTAAACTTTCAACCTAATTTGTACTCCTCCAAATAAGGTCTCATTTAAAGTTATTAACAACTAAATTTTAACCTAACTTGAAAACCAAACAATGCCTTCGACCCCCGAGACAAATTTGAGGTTATAATATAGTAACATTCGACCTACTTTAAGTCCCTGTAGTCTTAATGCCCTCAATAGGTTATCAGTAACTAGATTTAACAATGCCAGCTAACTTCAACGTTGCTACTTTTCAAAGGCACAGTTTTAGGATTAACTAGTTTACGACCTCATTTTTAGATTTCTCGCACTTTATTTCCTACAAGAAATTTATTGACTTAAGTATAAGTAAAATTCAATCAAATAGTGGTTAATGTTTTTTTCTCCTTCCTATGCTACTTGGGAACGCTTCCAAGCGTTTACCCCATATAGGAGCGTGGAGAATACGTAGCACCTTAGTACCTGTGTTTTTATAGCAATATTCAGGTGCATATTGCATAGGATCTTTCTAAGACGGTTAAAAACGGTTCTGGCTTTTTCTATGCGGCATATGATCTCTCGTGAGTGATCCCATTCCTTGTTCAAGCTGCAGCCCAGCAGCCCAAATACGTGATTGTATCTGCTGTTTTCAAGGTTTCCTTATTCGCCCTAAACTGGTTGTACTGCGCCTCATTAACTTATACAGAAAATTATTTTATCGAAAAATATCACCTAGTTGACTGTAGTACTCTAATGAAACTATCTATACTATTTCTTGAATTAGAACTAATTCTTTGCTCAAGAGGCGGTACTAATTGAAATTTATATTGTTAGACAGCAGACCGAAAACTATTACACGTTTTTTTGATCTAACAAGCGTTATTTCATCTTAATGCTCCACTTTAACGTCATTTTCTTTTATTACACAGGTGCTTTGCGTATATATAGAGCGGCCAAAGAATAAGCGGAAAGAAAAATCGTGAAATAATTCATATAGAACGTATATCAATATTTGACTTGGTAAGATTAGTTACGATTTACAACAGAACACAAAAACAATCGCAGTACACCCAAAACCCTACTATTAAAATTGGACGCTCCTCAATATTAGACGTCTTTTGTTCTACAATAATTAGAAAGACTCAAGTGCCTATTTTTAAATGTTAATATACATATTCTGGTATTACCTATTGTCGATTTTTTTTCTATATTATTAATTTATTGTAGGTACAGACGAGAACCACTTAAAAAATAGGATTATATAGAAAATAACTATATAAACAAGAAACAAATAATATAGTCTGTAAAACGAATAACTTTGAATTTGACAGTTCCCGCGGGCTTTTCTAGTGTTAATTTTATTAGGTTAGCAACTTGCGGCCATGCTGACGCAATGCCGTCTCTAATAGAACAGCCTCAGAGCGAGATTTATGACGTCACGCTAGTTAGATACTACGGGTTAATAAATATGTTGTAGAATACATGGAAAACATAATTATTCCTCGTATTTTTGGTTTGTATTTTAAAAATGATATAGTTTACATGAAATATACCTAATATACAGTTAATAAATACAATATATATACCTATTTATAGTAATAAATACTTTGGCAGATAATCTATGAACCATACAAATGCAGCAAATGTTTTACAATATGGCTGAAATCGTACTCCATAGTCAATGTAGATAGTTTTTGTGTTAAGAATAATAATTTTTAAAAAATATGTGGTCATCTTTTGACAAGTTTGTATTAGTTTATTAATTGCAGTAAACATTATAATATACAAATAAATTTTGTGAATGCAAATAATAATACATCACTATTAATAGATATTGAATGTTTTTTGTTAAATTAGATCGGTTTTCGAACCCCAAAATTTAAAATATATTTTACATTTTACCCATTATCATATGTACCACCTATTCATTATTTGTATATTATAAAACATTTGCTGCATTTGTATGGTTCGTAGTTTATTTGCCAAAGTATTTATTACTATAAATAGGTATATATTATATTGTATTTATTAACTGTATATTATGTATATTTCATGTAAACTATATGATTTTTAAAATACAAACCAAAAATACGAGGAATAATTATGTTTTCCATGTATTCTACAATATATTTATTAATCCGTAGTATCTAACTAGCGTGACGTCATAAATCTCGGTCCGTGGCTGTTCTATTAGAGACGGCATTGGTCTAATATTTAGAAATGTCAAAAGCTGATGACATTTTACTTTTGTCAATTATGACATTTTGTGTTGATTTTTGCAAGAAGAGGAAGAACTGTCACTTGTTTTATTATTTTCCTTTTCTATTTCACGAAAGTAAAAAGAGTTACCTATCTGATTCGTTCAGGCACTCAATTTAAAGAATATCAGTAACTTTTTTGACAGGGGGATTTTATATTTGCCATGTTGGTAAAAAATAACGGTCAAAATTCAAAGTTATTCATTTTATAGACTATAAAAGACATAACTACTTTTATGAGGTATATCCCATTTTTTGTGGGCTTCAAATATCGTAATCTTAAACCGTACAGGGTGTTCTAAAATATTAAATATTTTTTTTCCTTTTTTTTAAAATTGAAACACCCTGTATATTATTCTTTCAGTAGATGGAGAATTAAAAAATTAACATTTTTGTATTTAGAGTATTTCACAATGTTTAACGGTTTCGCAGATATTCGCCGGTTTGCATTTCATATGGCATTTTCCAGAGTAAATTTTTATCAAAGCCACCCAATGATTTTTCTCTCGTGTTTTACCGTTGAAAGAGCTATATAAAATAATACTGCTTGTATCTGCGAAACCACTAAAAAATTTAAAATACTTTAAATACAAAAAATGTTTATTTGTTTAACTCTCCATCTAATAAAAAAATAATAATATAGAGTTCCAATAAAATACAAACAAAAATTATTTCATATTTTAGAAAGTTTGGCGTAGAAATTTCAACACCCTGTATGATTTAAGATTACTATATTTATAGCAAAATAGTAGTATCGATTTCAAGACAGTCCCCCCCCCTTGTATTAATTTGTAATAATTTTTCTAAGAAAGGTTAAGAACATATATTTTTTTATTTATTAAATTTAATAATTATTAATATCTCCGAAATTATCGAAATACATTTTCTCGTATCGTAGGATTATCTAGAGTGATCTGAAAGGAAGCCAAAAATGCAATAATATACAGGGTGTTCCAATTAAAAAAAAACATCCCGATCCACTGACACTTTTTTGAACTACCCTATAGATGTTAAAATATTTTCCTGAAATACATCCTCGTATATACTTTAGATTTGTACTTAAACAAAACTCTCAAGATTTTTATTCTAGGAGCTTCAGATACCCGAGGCACTTTTGCCGGACCCTGTAGAAGGATAAATAAAATTTTGATGCAAATAAATAAATAAATGCCTTTATTGTCAAAAAAATTAAAAATTTGTAGACAAAGGTAAAGTACATAAAATACAAAGTAACAAAGTAACAGAACAGGTAAACAAACAAGAGAGAATACAAAACAAATATACAAATTACATTGTCAGTCTTATTGTTTAAAATAAACATTTATAAATGCTTACAATGTCAAAGAATAAACAAAAAATAAAAATAGGATTCAAAAATTTTTAGCAAGTTTATAGTAAATATAGTAATAGGAAATATTAGACCAGTGTTTACAAGATCAAATTCAATTATCAAAATATAAGTTATTTACGGCGTAGAAAGCCTTATTGTCTATTAAATAAGATTTCAATGCTTTGCGAAATAAAGAAAATGATGTTATGTATTTGATTTGAAATGGCAGGTTGTGATTGTGCATTTTTTTCGAGTTGTATAATATTGAACTTTTAACTAACTCTGAGCGTGGGGTAGGTAGGCAAATATCTTGCTCCGCGTTCCTTAGTGGATGAGGTGTGAGATGGTCTTTCTTGAGAAGCTGATACATGCTTACGTATTAGGCAAACGGATTCAAATATAAATAAGAAAGGAAGAGTTAATATTTTTAATTTTTTAAAAAAGCCCTGGCAATGAGTTCTACTGTTTAGTCCCAGTGAATATCTATCGAACAGCTCTCTTCTGGAGCTTGAAAATACGGTCAAATAGAGTCGCACAACACGTACCCCAGAATGGAAGGGCATATCTGAGTTGCGACCAAAAAGTGCATAATAAACAGTTCTACCCACTGACAAGTTAAGCTCCTTAGAAACAGATCTTAATGCCAAACGGGCAGAGCTTAATTTTTTCGGCAAAAATGTCGAAACTCATGAGGTTCGAATCTCACCAAGATTTAATGGTGATTAAGTCATTTGATATAATCCTATGAAGTGCCGTGACGTCCTTGTTGCTCCAAGTGAAGCTAGTGTCGTCCGCAAAAAGACATATTTTACCACTGCTGTTTATATTAAAACGGTCCGTTACATTTATTGGGAAGGACGGTCCACTTGGCATTTATTGATCTACAGAAGGCATACGATACAGTCCCACTGAGCAAGTTGTGGGTGTCAATGCAAAATTTTGGTATCAGTAGTTGGTATGTCCAAGCAACAAGAAAATTATACGAGGGTTGCAGTAGCACAGTTAAACTTGGAAACAATATTTCCCAAGAATTTCTTGTGAATAAGGGCTTAAGACAAGGGTGTTCATTAGCACCAACTTTATTTAAAGTATATTTGGAGGAAGTACTGAAGTGTTGGAAGATGAAATGCCGTGGAATGGGCTCCCAGTAGGAAAAGACACTTTATATACCTTACTCTTTGCCGACGACCAGGTCTTGATAGCGGTAGACAGAGACGACTCCAGTTATATGTTTAGAAAACTGCATGAGGAATATTCGAAATGGGGCCTAACAATAAACTCAAAGAAGACGGAGTACATGGTAGTGGGTGATGACGAACGTGAGGATTTGGATGTAGGAATCGGTACAATTAAAAATGTCTGTACATTTAAATACTTGGGCGTCACTTTTACAACAAATGGAAAAAGCACTCAAGATATTGCAAATAAACTCGTTGTTGTGGAGTGACAAAATTTCCCAAAAAACAAAAATTCTACTTTATAAAGCCATTGTAGAGAGCATTACCACTTATGGCGCTGACACGTGGGAGCTAAACAAAGTAGAGAAAAATAAGTGGCTTTCTCTTGAAATGGATTTTTGGCAAAGAAGTTGTCGCATTTCAAGACTGGAACACATCTCAAATCAAAGAATACGAGAAATTATAGGAGAAAAAGAAACTATTCTCGACGCCATTGACGGCAAAATACTAAGTTGGTACGGACACCTCCAACGAATGGATGATAACCGATGGCCGAAAAGAATTCATTCATGGACACCAAGCGAAAGGCGGAAACGTGGAAGACCACCTCGAAGATGGAAGCAGGGCGTAGTTGACGCTATGAATTCTAGGGGCCTCCAGGAAAAAGACTGGACGGACAGAAATCTGTGGAAGTTGAGAGCGACCGTTTATATTATCAATGTCGCTAATAAAAAGAAGGAACAAAATGGGGCCTTGTACTGAGCCTTGTGGTACTCCACATTCTATTGGCTGGCTAGAAGACAACGTGGTATCCACCCTCACAAGTTGAATTCTGTTGCTCAGATACGACTTAAACCATTCGAGAGATAATTATTTAAAAATAACAGTAATTCTGAAACAAATATTAGGAGACGTTTTTACTTCTTCAGTTAAAACTTTTCCATCTGAAATTTACCGACCTACTCTGTATACTTAACGTTTCCACGAGAGAAAATAAAATTTTCACGGTGCATGACTTTAACAAAAAACTACTCCTACCCTATTTAAGTGTGTCCTCCTTTACCGATAATTGCATACTCAGATGTTTATATGTAATTTAACTTTTTACTGGAAATAGTAAATAATAAATGAAACTGACATAAACATACCTTTACTTGAGCTTTAGTGGACAACGATATTGTTGATTAAGTTAGTCTACTTAATTCTTTATCGTTTCTAATTGTCTAAGAAACTGATATTTACAGAATAAATGTCTATTTATATATTTTAAGGTTTACCGGGTGCATCTCAAAAGTGGCTCACTCCTATAACTTTTTTATTTTTTCAGTTAAAAAACGATATTTGGTATGTTAATATATGACATAAATTAGGATTCATTGACGTATTCAATAATTGTTTTTGGTCACTTCCTGTTTCACCGAAAATCACTAAAACTTTTGATTTCTAAATGGCACCCCCGGTATTTTTTTACTTTATTCGATAGAAAATTACACTCTGAATAGAATGACATATATCATTTTTTGATATTTTCGCCTATGGTTTATTTGAAATTATAACTTGCGGTTCGTAACGAAAATTTGACTCGAAATACCAAGTGTGTGGTATCAAATTATTCGTATGAAAATGTTTTTTTTTCCAAAAATGCTAATGAGCCACCCAGGTTTTATTTGAAAAAAGACACTAATAACATTAGACGATCAAGTCGATTTTTCCAAGGCTCCTTGATTAAAAATTAGTGTTTTTTGTGTGAAAATTAAAATACTATTTTTTATTGAGCAAGAATGTCTAAAGTTGACATATGATATGTCATTCTATTCAGAATGTTATTTTCTATCCAATTAACTAAAAAAGGTGCCATTTAAAACTCAAAAGCTGTAGTTTGTAGTAATTTCCGGTGAAACACGAAGTGACCGAAAACAATTGAATACGTCAATAAATCATAATTTATGTCATATACTAAAATACATAATCTCTTATTTTTATCTGAAAAAATAAAAAAGTTTTAGGGGTGAGTTACTTTTGAGACGTAGCCGGTTTACAGTAATGTATCAGTAATGAAATACCTTATGCTCTATACTACTCGTATGTATACTACGACTAGTATACATATAGTCGTATAAAAAGCAAGAACTTTGAAATTTTCAAGTTGGCAAAGACATATATAAGATTGTAATTCGATTGTAGTCTATAATTATGCAGTAGTATACAGGCTGATGCACGGCCATGGCATGTTAGACGTTTATGGAGAATCAGTGATGATACAGGGTGTCACAGAAGTAAGTGCAAGTATTTTAACTGGTAGTATAGTTCGACCCCAGAAACGCGCCTATGAAGTTTTTTTCGGAAAAAAATGAAAATTCGTAATTTTTTGAATTTTTTTTAGTTTATAGTTAAAAAACATAATTTCTTTATAAGATGGCAACATAGATACTAGATTAAATTTACAAGAAAGAAAATCCAGAAAAGATCCAGCGGTTCTCAAAATTTTAGCAAAAAATATTTTTTTTGGAAATTTTCAAAGTAAAATAACTCCGTTATTTAGGACTTATTTAAAAAACGATAAAGAGAAAATATGTTTCTTTTATCGAGTTCTACCACCCCTTAAAATACTTGCACTTATTTCTGGGACAACCTGTATATTAATATAAATTTAAAAATATGTTTTTTATTTTATTTAGAATGTTAAACTTTTAAGCAGATGTAAAAACTATCTTTACTGTAACCACAGTCCTTAGCGACAGTAATCTAATGACTTAGCCAGTGTCACCGGATATCCGATTTCATCCTGCCTGTAAAGCCTTTGTGCCAAATTGTTTTTGAAGTGGCAACAGTGTAACGCTGAAAATAATTTCTATAGATTGAGAAGGTGCCATTATCTAAAAATCCAAATTTTCAATAAAATCCTATATTATATGGTTCCTAACCTAATTTCCTAACCTAAGTACCATCACTGTGCAAATCACTCTGTATATTTTCTAAACAAGCAATATATGATAAAAACGCATTATCATCCACTCGTTATTCGAAATATCAAATTCCAGATCTAAAAAACTTTCCTAGAAAATTATGAAACTCGAGAAAATGTATTTCCAGAAAATTTTGCAATCGCAACTTGAGAAGTTATTTCACTAACAATGGACAACTTCGTTTGGAAGCTATAAACAAAGTTTATGGTACCTTTTCATTAAACTTTCCCTACCCGAATTGAATATTCCTGTAGTAATTATATAAGCATTGTTGTTTTCTAAGATTAACCAAGGAATTCGGAGATTAGATTACAGTTTTGTTTATTATCATTTTGTTATATTATCTTAGTAATTCTATCTCTACAGAAACCTTCAGCATCTCGTAGAATAAAGCTTTTTTGACATATCAGAGATAAATATCATTTACTATTATTATATAAATAATGTTACTTTACATGTCCATTTATTTATTTTATTATTATTATTATTAGTTAAATTAGTTAAAGTTAACCTTAATAATCGGGCCCCTGTGCTTACATATGGCTTAGAGACTATGGCAATTACCGGAAAAATAGCAGAATAACTACGATTTGCACAAAGGGCCAATAAAAAAATTATGTTAGGATTTACCTTGAGAGACACCTACAGAGACATGGCACACTCATAAATATAAATAAAAAAAAACTAATAGATGCTGTAAAAAGAGCGGAAATGGATTGTCCATGTGGCACGACAGGACCGATAGTCACAAAAAGTTATACTATGGAGACCAAGGGGAACCATCAGTTATTGTGAGCCGACCAAAAAAAAGATCAGTCTGTGATGTTAAACAGTGACAGGAAGACCATGGATGAGATGTTTAGAGATCACATGGGATTAAAAAACTTAGATGAGGCCTACATCCAACATCCTCTAACCAACGGTCTAAGACACTCGAAAATTTTCCTCAGAACTTACGACCGAGAAAAATCAAAGGTTTTCCTTGATTTAAGTAAAAACAATCTTTGGATTGTCACCGGGTTTCTAACAAGACACTGTCTCCTCAACGAATACTTCATTAGACTGAAGCTGAGAAACAACGGTGAATGCAGATAATGTGGGGAAGATGGGAAAACACCAGAATAGAACACCTTGTCACTGGGTGCGCCGAAACGACGACCATTCGTGCCATGAACTTTGGTACGGCTGATGTCGAGGATGAAGAGCTGGCCTCTGTGGAGCCGTCTCAGATACTGGCTTTTGTTAAAGCCTTGAGACTGTATAATGAGTTATAACTCGTTATAACTCAAGAAAGGGGAACACACAATAGATCTGTAAGGTTGCGGTGATTAGCTCCCCTCCAAAACATTCTACATACTACATGGCAATTACCATCCGTAAAAACCGTAAAAATAGCAGAACAACTACGATTTGTCAACAAGGGCCGTGGAAAAAATCGTGTTAGAATTTGAGAGATGAAATAGAGAGAGACAAAATTGAATAAAATAGAGAGACTAAATCCTTGAGAGACAAAATATGGCATACACATAAACATGAAAAATCATAATATAATAATAGCTCCCGTATATAGCGTTTAACGCCTTGGGAGTAGCAAGGTACAGCTTGCTATACTAGAGCCGTTCGGTATACAAGGAAGGTAATGTGGCTAGCACTACGCTTTAACCGCCTATTATTACCTCAGGATTGTGAATCCCAAGTACTCATTTAAGGCTGAGTCGACCCAGGTACCCAAACTATTTTTATTTTAATAAAAATAGTCGGCTGATGAAATGCCGGGTGTGGGAATCAAACCCACACCATGAGATGAGATGAGATTGAGATGAGATTGAGAGACGAGAGCCTGTACCTCTACACCACCGGGCACCTAAAAAATCAAACTAATAGTATACTAGTCGGTTTAAAACGTTTTTCTACGTTGTCCGATAGCCAATTTCCAGCCTGTTCTATTCGTACTAATCCTCTGTTGATAGGTTTCTTTCACTCATCGCTTTGTGTACGCTTTTTTGCCATTCCAGTTTCGGTTTTCCCTGTTTCCTTCTGCCTTTTGGTCGCCAATTGATTATATTTTCATTCGCTCTACATGTCCGTACCTTCTTGTATTTCTCAGTTATTCTCAGTTATTGTCTGCTCTTTATCATGGTCTCATATATATATATTAAATTTTCTTCGTTTTGTTATTGATTTGCTCCATAAGATTCCATTTAGACATCCGATTATTTTTTTTAGCGTTGATAATCATTTTCTCTATTTCTCTGCTATCAGTTCCAGTGTTATAAAATTTAATTCCCAGGTATTCATACTCTTGACACTGAATAATTTCTTGACCGTTGTCTAAGTTCAAATTTTCTTCTTGTGCGCCTATACTTAGATATTTTGTTTTGTTTATGTTAACTGTCAAGCCCCATTCTCCGTATTCTTCAATAAGTTTTCTTAGCATATATTGCATATAATCTATATACAATATTGGAGACTATTAATTAATCGTCTGCGAATTGAATTGTAAACAAACATTCATTGTCAAGCTATATGCCCATACCTCGGATCCCTTTTTTTTTCAATTTTTTTAACGCGACAACGAGATGCAACAACCTTGAGTAGGCCTTTGTTGGTTATAAACGTTTCTTGAAGCTCTTTTCAATGAATCAAACTAATAGATGCCGTGAAAAGAACGGCAATGGATTAGACATGTGGCATGACGAGATCCAGACCGATAGCTACAAAAAGTCCTACTATGGAGACCAAGGGGAACCATCAGAACTGTGGGCCTAACAATAAAAAAGATGAGTCTGTGATGTA